GCTATAAAGGAAAAAAAGTCTTTCTTTAAACCAAACCAGCCCTTTCAGAAGCTAGAAGACTGTGCTTCAAACTCTTGGTCCAAAAAGGGGTCTGTTGACCAACAGCATCAGTACCACTTAAGAGGTTGTTAGAAATGCAGAATCTCAGGCCCCACTCCAGACTGTTCCATGAGTTTGCTATATTACTTGAGGATATTAAATTCTGTCAAGAAAACAAATGGGGCCTGGAGGTGTAGCTCAGAGGTAAAGCACTTATATAGTACATATGCAAAGCCCTGGGTTCAGAAAAAAAATAATAATAAAAGGAAAAAAGAAAAACAGAAACAAATGCAATAAATGAAACTCATATGGAGTGATCAATTTAAATGCTAGTAAGCAAGCTTACATCTTATGAGGAAAAGACAACACTCACAGACTTGGTTAAGTACAGATACCTGAGAATGGAAGCTGGTGAGATGAAGGCAGAATTCAATATATATATTACAAATAGGTAAGTTAGTAACCCAAATGACATTGCAAAAATAGAATAAAATACTATGGGAGGGCTAGGCTCGTGGTTCAGCGGTAGAGTGAGGCACTGAGTTTTATCTTGAGCATCACATAAAAATAAACAAAATAAAAAGTACTGTGTCCATTTGTAACTAAAAAAATAAAATTTTTAAAAAGATACTATGGGGATAAAAAGAGTTTACTAATAGAAAGGGATAAAAAGACTAATTCACCATTATGCCATGTCTGAACTGACATTATGCCTTCTATTTCAGATGGATGTCACCTCCATATCAAGCCATCCACTAAGGATGCTCAGTATGGTCCCATTCTGGAACCACATCATTAATCAGTGTAATCTTGGCCCAAATATTAACTCTGGTCCTCATAACCACACCACCAATAGAAAAGAAAGGGAAAGAGAGACAGGGGAGGCGAACACTATGTGGCCAGGAAGCAGGCAGTAGAGTCCTACCAACTTTGAACCTTATCTAAGTGTGTTAATAACTCACTCCATGATTTTGTTCTTGTTTCTGGATTTGTGCGTTAAATTTATTTGATAAATTGAGAGATTCAAGCATTGTAATTTGAGTGCTGAATGCTTCTATTCAATAACCTCTGAGTGCTTGACTGGTACTGTATTTGGAGGCTAACCTTTGCATGAAGGTAATTTCCCACAGAACACCTACTGAAACAGAATCTGCATTTTAACAAGATCCTCAAGTGATTCATATGCATATTAAAATTTAAGAAGCACTGACAAAACTGTAAGAAAAAGAAGCCTCCACAAAGATAAAAAGTTGGATCTCAGAAAAACTATGCTCAGAATACCATCTTAAACAAAAGACTGCACATACCAGGAAGAGACTGGGAGCCCCCAAAGTGGGAGAGAACACAAAGAGATCCATATTTGACAGCTATCTTGCAGGTTTAAAGAAGCCTTGCTTTGCTTGTGGGTCTTCCTTTGAACTCTAGGTCTCTAAAGCTCTATATAGTTTGAGAAAACACTACAGTACAGCACAATGCACAGCAACATTAACTCTGCACTCTCTTCCTTCCAGGAAGTAAATTAGAAAATCTACTTTTTCAGAAAACGCTATATTTCAAGAATACCAATATAAAGACTATCAGTAAGAGTGAAAGGGTTCTGACTTCCTTCATGAGGCTACAGTGACCTCAGAAGGGTCATCCAAGAGCAGAATTGAGATGAGCCTGAAAAGCCTGGTTCATGGGTTACACTCCTCCCACCTTGCAGGGACTCCTAACTGGGAAGGCTCCAGTCGCCTACAGTATATCCCATTGTTCCTGGCACATATGAGGGGCTCAGTAACTGTTCTGGAGTAAAAGAAAAAGTAATGACAAATGTCACTCTGTCTATCCTTGATCCCTCTAGACACATTTACTTTAATTCAATCCCTTGTCTCTGAGAAATTCCTGAAAACGAAAACATAATTCCACATCTCAAACAATTTGATTCATAACACCTTCCCGTCCATATCTTGAAGGAGGATTTTACATTTTCTATTATTAATCCCATTTAAATATTCCATGACATCAACTTATACGATAAGAAACAACTGTGCCCATGAAACAGAGGGAAGTTATACAACTGCTGGCCAACAATATCATCTGACTGTTTTTAAGTCATTAACAAGTACTGGGACTATGCTACCCAGGAAAGATCAGCTATTATTTTCTTTTTCTAGGTCCAGATTTAAGACATAATATGGTAATATCTTTAAAAGAAGTGAACTAGACACCGAGGACAATTCACACATGCAAAGATCATAAATAAGAACTATAAAAACACTAAAGATGTTGGGACTATTTTACTGAGTAAGGAGTAAAATATCAGGAAAAGAACATAAAAGTTTCAAAAATCATTTCTATAAAGAATATGTGTACCCTGTTGCTTCCAAAGTATGTTTAAATTTCAAAGGAAAAGATTTTGTTTGGAAATCCTAATTTCCCATTCCATAAAGCTTTATGAAAAGAATAAGGAAACACACACAGGGGTAGCTGAATGAACTCTGTTCCAAATAATCTATCAAATCCCTTTCACTCTGCGCATTTAATATATCCATATATTGCTAAAGAACACACCAGACATTAGACACTTTGATACAGTTTTGTACACTGTTTTATATGGGTTTTAAATATAATGTGTTTAAGAATTGCCTCTATAAGGTCACAGAGCAAAGGGCTAACCTTATAGATTTTTCTGTCTTCTGCAGCTAGCAGCATGAAAGATCACATATGATAAGCCTTCCCAAAATACTTGTTAAATTTAATTAAGTATTACCACCCTCAGAGGCAAAAAAAAAAAAAATCTTAATTGGAGAATAACCAAATGCCACCATCATCACCCACAGAAAGCAGTTCTCAAAATTTCCAAGTGAATCTACTTGCATGTCAAACAACAGAAACAAGAAAGAGTAATTGTCTCATTCATTACAAAAGGGCTAATAATGAATCTTCTGTTTGCAAACTTAATCCACTCCAACTAGTCCTGTTAACTGCCTGATAAAACGCAGGGCGTTATGTTTGCTTCATAAGCTTGATCTAAGTTCTTCATGAAATGTATTAAACCTAAAAGCACGTAATCTATTTTCATTCCATCTATTCAGAAATCCAATTTATTTATTACATGAAAATTAAGAGGTAAAACACTATTATGAGCAAAAGCAGCAAAAAGCACTTGACTTTCAAAATATCGTACCCAAAAAGCTGGCTTCTTCCCAGATATGAAAAGACATATTTCAATGATAAATCCTTTAAAATCAATTAATATCTACCTTCATGCAGTTACGTTTTGTGCAGCATAGGACCCAAATACACAGTGAGCATCCCAGAGAGTTGAGTGGCTAATGTTCTACTTAATAAATGGTTCATAAACTGCTATCCCCCTATTAAAAAATCAGTTGCTGGCTTTAACAAACTCCTTGAAGAGTTTATTTCAGTTATTCCTGCTTTGCCCAGTGTGAAATGATTTAATCCTGTTGCTTTCTTCCTAAAGGGTAGAAAAACCATGTTCAAAAGAGGCATGAATGGTGAAATTTGGGTGCTCACTAGACAGGCTTTAGGGAAGGATGCCTTTGAGGACAGTGCCTAGAAGTGGAAGGAGAGTGGGGAATGGGAAGGAAAGAAAAGAACACTGGCAGGTGGATAAGCACCCTACTTAGCTTACTTTCAAATTAGATTCACGATTCAAGTTTATTTCAAACAGTTTAAGTTGACATGATCTATTCTGATCCAGAACTTAATGCCTTACACTATTACAATGAAAATTTGCCTCCCAACAGCTGAAAATAATTTAATAAAATATGACTTTATTTCAAAATAGCATTTCATAACTAAAGCAATCAGACTTCTCTGTGGGTATTTCTATGTAAATTCTATATCTTATGGCTATATATAGAAGTTCATAAAGAGAAATAACAGTGATTCTAGATTTTCAGGAGAAATTTTTTAAATATATGACACCAAACTCCAAATCTGTCATATATACGCAGGATGTAAGGTAGGAGCTCCTAAAAAGTGGTTTCAAACTACACATTTGCCACCATAACACTCCCCCTACACACCACCCCACAGATTCCCCAAGGAGAGCATGCCAGAATCTGAGAACTGAGCTGGTGGGCAAGCACACTTTGAATAAGCACTCCAGGGGATTCTGATACTCAACCCACCACCTCCTGCCCCTACTGCCATTATCCACTAATAATGTTATAATGTTCCAATACCCGATACTGATGTACTTTGTGCTATTCTCTTATACCAAATATTAACTAAGTGAAGTCATTAGAATACAGCTTCTGAATTCAACTGGCATTTATTCCAGTTTTTAAGAGGTAAAACTAAATCCATGAATGGCAAATCAATTTTGCTTTCTTTCACAAAATTTCACTTTAAAGCTATACAACAAATTCTGAAATCAAATATGTTTACAGTCATAGCTTTTCAATGAAAGTATTTCAGTCAACTAACATACTTCCATAAATCAAATTTTCACTACTACGCAGCAATGAAAAAAAAGTTCCAACATTCTTCACAATCCACTTACACTTAAGTAAGTAATAACTCAGATATTTTTAAGCAAGTAAATAAAGAGATTTCAAGGTTACCATAACTCACCCAATGTACCTTATACCTCCTATCTTACGGTGCGTAGATTCAGGTTATTATTTAGAGGGAACATTAAGTGACACTTGTTAAAGCAGTTCTGTTTCAAACTGACACTCCTGATTTTCAGTACTTCTATTGTTCATACTCCAATCCAGTGGAATGTACCTCACAAACTTCAACTTTCATATCACTCAATACTAGATTATGCCACTACAAAGCACATTAAGAAATGTGATCTTTCTCCAAACCGAAACTTTTAAAATCACCTGCCAACAGGTGTACACATCCACACTATTAAATTCCTTACAAAAAAAACTTCTAGTAGTTGTCACATCTATTCTACATAGTTAGGCCACAACACTAAAAAACTTAGAAAACAAACTTACCTTAATTGGAGCACTACTAAACTTAATTTTCCGATTTGCTGGGATTTCTTCTTCTTCTGGCAATCCAACGATTTCCGAGTATTCCATATCAGGCTGATAGTAATTGTTCTCATCACTATCTTCCTCCTCATCCTGCTCAGTGCCTGTCTCTCCCCAGTCAGAATTATACCTGGATCTCACCCTATACACATTATAGTCACTATGCATATACACATGGGAACTCTCAAAATTATTTGAGTCTTCAGGTACTTCTTTTCCACAACTGGATGCAGAAGCATCAGGAGAGGTGAAATCACCACCTGCAAGTTCTTTCCTCTGTTGCTTTGCTGCCTCACTTCCAACAGAATTAGCTTCAGCCTCTCCTAAAGGTTGGTTTTGGGGTGAAAGGAGATCAGACTTTGGCATTGCCTTATTTTCAGCACAAGGCTCTTCAGGAAGATCTTTGTCAATTCTGTCCAGAGTCTCCTGGTTAGATATGGAGTCCTCGGCTTCCTGGCTCTGCTGTATCTCTTCACTAGGTAACGAAGCTAGAGAGGTACTTTTAGGAGCCACTTCTGGTACTGGAGTTGTATTACTCTTCTGAGCATCCTCTGTATCAACCCCTTGTTTGTTCGATGGAGACCAAGAATTAGAATCCTTAAGGTGGCCAAAGGTGTCAAGATTTGTAACAGTAACAGATGGTAAATTCAGAGGATAATGCCCAGTCACTGAGTATTCATTGTTTGCAGCCTTCTCAGAAATGATGGCACTGGGGGACTCGGTGTTCTCAAATACTGCACTCAGTTGACTCACCGTTGGGGAGACAGCCTCGGTCCGGGAGCTAAGGCTGTCCAAGGAATCAGTACTGCCTCTGTTGGACTTGGAACCACCCCACTCATCCTGTGGTTCACTCCCCCCAGCTTTTTCTTTCTTTGGGGAATAGCGGTTGTTTTGCCCTGACTCATGCCCACTTCTCTCAAACATCTTTCGGGTCTCTGTGAACTTAGAATATGAAGGGCCATCGTACATTGTGTCAAATCTACTAATTCGTTCAGATACAGAGGACTCCAATTTAACAACTGAGCCATCTGTTTTCTCCAGAAATTCTTTGGGCTTCATTCTTCTCTGAGGGGATGAAGGTCCACCTTTCCCCCTGGTTTTGGCAATGACTGCAGCATTCTCATTGGGTTCCATACCCATCTGCATAAACAGGTTTTTAATTCTGTTGACATTGGAGCCATATTTCCTCCCCCTGCTCTGCTGGGAGCCCTCCCCTTCCTTTGCTTTTTGTTCCCCATCTGACTTGGGTTTGTCAAAGGTACTTTTCAGTGCCTGGAACTCAGTTCTATATGCATTCCTGTGAGGAGAGGCACTTCTCAGAGTGGTTCGTTCACCTGAAGACTCAGCTTTCAACATTTTTACTTCAAGGGTGAAAAGCCAATGTTCATAATGATCAAGGGGGGGAAAAAAACTCTCTTCTCTAATCACCAGTATTTGGTCAAGAAAAGGGCCGCTCAAGTGGCATACTCTCAGTGATCGTCCCAACAAATGTATTAGGAAATTATTCAGTCAATAGTTACACAAAATGGCTTTTTCAAAGCAAGACTAGAGGTTCATCTGTAATAGAAAAGAATGAATTTCTGAATCCATGTACTCGAATTTATGTTTAGTCAACTAATACACACTTTATTGTCCAAGTGGTTTAGCCACATATCAAGCAGAAGAAATTATTTATTGAAATGGAAAGTTAAAAGTCAAAAAGTTAAAAGTTATCATTCTTATTGGTCTGGTAACAAAAATGTATCAAACACAATTTGGAGGTCCCTATCAAACTCCCCTCCCTCTCTCCCCCGGATCACCTCCTCCCCACACACATTACACTTAAGTACATTGGAAAACAATATTTTAGCCCATTTTGGATGCTTTTGCAAATGACCCTAAAAGAAACAGGCAATTCAAGTATGTTTAAGAAATCATCAAACTGTCTAGAAAAATTAATTTCATTTGGCATTATCCATACTCAGGTAGAACTTACTCTAAGTACAGTTAAAAGTTTGGAATCTATGTTTACAAACTTCAAAACATGCCACATTGGCTTATTTCAGTCTCTTTGTTCCAATATCCTCATCTACAGCATCCCCAAAGTGACACTAGTGCAATTTCAGAACAAAAAAAGAAAAAAGTTCTTGAATATCAGTAAGTTTCACTCTAAGTTCAGTTATAGCCAATATTTGGAAGTTTTCTAACAGAGGATATATAATTATGGAGTGGGACGTAGACATCACGGGAATGAATGCATGAGAATGTGACAATCAGAAAGCAAATATACCATGACATCTCTTTTCCCAGCCCTGATTTGTTTATTCCTTCTTGCCTCTAACTTACTACAAACTCAAAACACAACAGCAATGCATGCTTTCTGGTCTCTAGCCCACAGCTGGATTTTATATCAATATGCTAGCAATCAAATACTTCAAGATCTGCTGAAGAGCAGAGAATACCATTCTAAAGATTTTTCATTTTGTTTTTGTTTTGTTTTGTTTTAATATTAGACTGAACCACCTCACCCTCACGCACAATCAGTTGAGGAAGCACACACTTTCACTTAAATTCGTCTCAGAACTCGTTTCCTGGCCCAGCATGCATGCATGGCCCATGCAGACAAACAAGAAAGGCTGAAGAGTGTGGTGCCAGTTTTTTTTCCCCCTTTTCTTTTTTTGTAAAGCATCGACAATCTCCTTTTACCCTGACATTTTTTTTAAAGCCATAAACACCCTCCCCTCTCCCCACTCACACACCCCATTCCCTCCCCCGCCAATTCGAGCCCGAGGGGGCGGAGGCGGGGGCGATGGGGCCGCTGGGGATTCAAAACCTGCCCTCACAAAAGACAAACATAAATAACACCAACTTGAGAGGCAGCCGATTCCCAAGCCTGGTTCGGGACGCAATCCCTCGGCCCCGGGGCAGGGCCGGGAGAGCAGGTGACGCCAAGCGCTATGGTAGGAGGTCGCAGTCTAGCTTTGTGCCAAGAAGCACCTGAAGTCCTAACACATTGGCTGCGGCTCCCAGCGGCTGCCAGGCGGATCCCAGTGTGGCACGGGAGAGACGAGCTCCCTGGCCACATTTAAAAAAAAAAAAAAGAAAAAGAAAGAAAGAAAATTATAGGGTAATGATAATAAATCCCTTTGTTTTTCCTCCCAATGTGCCAGGAAACAATAGATCCCACTGATAATGCCTCGGATCCTTCAACCTCTCGCTCCCCAACCACAGCCCACCCCCACCCCCAGCCTGCAACTCAGCCTTTGTACATGCCGATATTTTTCCTGCTCATCTCCTCCCTCCCCAGCTCCTCGCCCCGCGCACAGCCTCCCCCTTACCCGAGCGAGCGGGAGCGCCGCGGGCGGGAGGGTCGGCCGCGCGCTCCCACCCAGCTCACTGCGCCCCCCGCCCCGC